ATACAAAGAGTCTGTTGCCCTAAATCATATGTATAAGGAAAGATATATAATTAACTAATTACAATAATGATAATAAAGATGTAAATCAAGAGATTAACGGGAAATAATTTATTTCCTTAACACGCCCCCGCAAGATGGAGGAGCCATCAGTGACTCCAATCTTGGATCTTAAGGAGAGAAACCGATGACTAGAAAGAGGTTTAGTGAGTCCATCAGCTAGCTGATCTATGGATGCAATGTGTGAGACTCGAACAACTTTCTTGTCAACTAAATCCCGAACAAAATGAAGGTCTATAGCGATGTGCTTCATACGAGAGTGCATAACTGGGTTACTACTAAGATAAGTAGCACCAAGGTTATCACAGTAGAGTGCTGGAGGAGAAGTGGGTCGAATACCAAGTTCAAAAAGAAGGTTCTGGATCCATACAAGTTCTGAAGTGCCTGCTGCTAAAGCTCTATACTCTGCTTCTGTAGAGCTTCGAGCTACGGCTCGTTGTTTGGTGGCTTTCCAAGACACAGGATTGGAACCGAGATACATTAGATACCCTGTTGTAGAGGTGAAATGGTCTTTGTCTCCCGCCCAATCAGCATCCGTGAAGCCATGAAGAGATAGTGAGGATTGAGGACGAATAAGGAGACCATGATTAAGAGTGCCCTTAAGGTACCGAAGAACCCTTTTTGCCGCTTGCCAATGGAGGTCTGTAGGACTGTGCATAAACTGAGAAAGCTTACTGGTGGCAAAACAAATGTCCGGTCGTGTCAGGTTAAGATACTGTAGGGAGCCAACAATCTTTCTATACTCCGTTGGATCCGTAAGAGTGTGTCCTGCAGTCTGTTGAAGGGTGGTAGTAGAAGCAAGTGGTGTACTTACTGCTTTGGAGTTTTCCATGTGTGACCGGTGCAGGATGTCTTCTATGTAACGCCTTTGTGAGAGGAAAAGACCAGTAGTAGTATGAATGGCCTCGACACCAAGAAAGAAATTAAGTTCTCCAAGATCTTTCAAGGAGAATCTTGTGCTCATGGCATGGATTAGCTTGGAGATGATAGCAGAGTTGCTTCCGGTGATTAGAATATCGTCTACATAAACCAGAACATAGAGCCGGTCAATACCAGAAGGAGAAACAAAGAGCGAGCTATCTGACCTTGAATTTGTGAGGCCAAAAGATAGGAGAAATTGCTTGAGCTCACGGAACCAAGCTCTTGGGGCCTGCTTTAGGCCGTACAAGGACTTCTTGAGGCGACAAACATGGTTGGGTTGATTTGGATCTGTAAAACCCATCGGTTGTTGCATGAATATTGTCTCATCAAGTTTACCATTGAGAAAGGCATTGTTGATGTCTAATTGATGAATCTTCCAGCCTCGACTCACAGCAATGGAGAGCACTGTTCGGATTGTTGTTGGCTTAATTACAGGGCTGAAGGTTTCAAAGTAATCGGAACCAGGTTTTTGATGAAATCCTTTGGCAACAAGTCTTGCTTTGTAGCGTTCAATTTGGCCATCTTTGCCTCTCTTTAACCTGAAAACCCACTTACAACCAATGATATTTTGGTTAGGTTCAGGGGGGACAAGATCCCACGTACCTTGGCTTACCAGTGCACTGAATTCTTCTGACATGGCTTGCCTCCATCGATGATCTTTCATGGCCTGGCTCACACACGTTGGTTCAATTGGAATGAGAGAGGAGGATGTGTCAGCTACATAAAGTTGCTTTGGTTTGAATATTTGGTTTTGGGATCGAGTAACCATGGGGTGAATTCTGGTGGGTGGCGGTGCTGCAACAGGGGAGGTAGATTTTGAGGTGTCCGATGAGGGTGTGGAATCGGAGGAAGGTGAGGTATTCTTGTAAGAAGCAGAGAAGGATGTTGAATCTGCAGCATTAAATGAGGACGATACGGAAGTGGGATTTGAGGTCGGTGAAGTGGATGGCAACAAAGTAGCATTTGGATTTGGTGGAGTGGATGGGTTAGGTGGCACGGTTTGGTTATGTGGTGGAGATATAGGAATGACAATTGGTGAGAGTGAATTTGCACTAGGGTCAGACAAATGCAACGTGGACTGAGGGGAAGCCTTGCATGTGTGAGGTGTTTGGGATTGGATTGGCATTTCAATTGAAGAACTTTCTGATGAGAATAACGTGGAGGAAAGGAATGAATCTTGGCAAGTGAATTTAGAAACAGAAGGTTCAAGAGTTTTGAATGGGAATAAATTTTCATTAAATTGGACATGTCTTGAGTAAAAAATTTTATTTGTTTGAAAATCATAACATTTATAACTAAGATTTTCAGTAGAATATCCTAGAAATAAACATTGACGTGACCTTAATTGAAGTTTATTTTGAGTATAAGGTCGAAGCCAAGGATAGCATGCACACCCAAAAATTTTGAATTTTAAATAATTTGGTTTAAAATGAAATAATTTCTCAAAAGGAGACTGGAATGAGAGAGTAGAGGAGGGCATGCGATTGATTAAATAAACTGCAGTAAGAAAAGCATGGGACCAAAAACATGGTGGTAAGGAAGCTTGGTGAAGCAAAGTTAGCCCAGTCTCAACTATGTGTCGATTACGACGCTCACTTATGCCATTGAGTTCAGGAGTATAAGGAGGTGTAGTGAAGTGAGAAATTCCACTTTCAGAAAGATATTTTCGTAAACCAATAAATTCACCTCCTCCATCAGAATAAAAATTTTTTATTTTTGTTCCAAATTGATTTTCAACAAGAGATTTAAACTTGGGAAAAATTATTGAAACATCGGATTTTTGTTTTAAAGGAAATAGCCATGTATACCGACTATAAAGATCAATAAATAGAAGAAAATATTTGTAACCATCAATAGACGAAGTTGGAGCAGGGCCCCAAACATCTGAATAGATAACTTCCAATGGTTTTTGACTTTGAATGGTTGAGTGACCAAAAGGCAATTTATGGCTTTTTGAGCATAGGCATGAATCACAAGAAATGGAAACTGACTTGGACAACACGGGTAATTGATTATTTCCAAAAATTTTATTTTGAATCTTTGGTGAGGGATGACCCAATCGAGAATGCCAATCCAATGTCGAGGCCCGTTCACCAACTAAGGCTTTTGGTGTGAACTTGGAATGGTTCACAATGGGAATTTGGTAAACCCCATGTTTATTTTGTCCACGTAGCAATGTCGCCCCTGTGCTACAATCCTTCATCAAGAAATAAGTTGGGTGAAATTCAATAAAAGCATTGGCAGATTTGCATAATTGAGAAACGGAAATTAAATTGCGAGATGCACCAGGTACACATAGGACATTATGTAATGGAAAAGAGATGTTTTCTGTGATAAGTGTGGTTTGACCCACGTGTGTGATATCCAAACCTGAGCCATCACCGATGAAGAGTTTATCCAAACCAGTGTATTCAGAATACAATGCAAGATTTGCTAGATCCGTGGTGATATGATGGGTTGCACCGGAGTCCAAGAGCCATTCGTTTGAAGTAGAATTAGGGGCAACAACATAACTGGCAGCATGATATTGAGATATTATGCAAAACAGTGGGCAGTTTCCGGCAAGGTGACCGGATTGGTTGCACAATTGACAACGTGCTTGATTATTAGGCTGGAATTGAGCAATGCCTTCGTTTGGGCTTAATTGAGGGA